GCTCTCTGGGGGGGACGAGGGAGAAGACACAGACGGCCGCCCCAAGGCCGTCGGGGGACGCGGGAGTGGGTCTGCTGGGGGACACCGGGGTGCGGGGTGCTGTGGCCTGGGCCCGAGGACCCCGAACACCGGGGCGGCATCCTGAGTGGGGGAGCCTGGCGCGGGCTGGGCCGGGAGCCAGCAGCCGGCCGGCGCTGGACCGCAGGGTCGCCCGAGAGTTGCGGGGCGGCCCCCGCCCCGGCCCCGAACACCGGGGCGGCAGCTCCGCTTTCTGCTCGGTCTCCGCGAGGTGTCGCCTTCGGCCGACGAAACCACCGCGGCGCCACCCTCGCAGCCCGCAGTTATTTATTTATTTTCAAACAAGGGGGGGGGCGCCCCTCTCCTTTCGATTTAAAACTAGAAACATCCCGCGGTTTCGGTCCTGAGTGGGTGCGTCCTCTCCTACCTATTTTGCACCCCGGGGTCTAGCCTCCCTCGCAGGTCCCATCCGCGCAATCCTTTCGCCGAACAAAACGTAGCCCAGGCGGGGGCCTGGGATAGGAGCCCGGCTGTCCTCCCCCGCCCCACCCCGCCCAAAACACACCCCCGAGCCCACCGGAAATTTTTTTTTAAGCGCCAAGCCATTGCCCGGCCGGCGGGTGGGTGCCGCTTGCACCGCTTGGCGCCAGCGGGCTCGCGGAGTGCAGCGGGTGCAAGCCCGGGGGTCTGAAAGGGCGGGAGGGGCACACCCGGGGCTTCCCAGCTCTGCAGCCTCCTCTCTGCAAAGAAGAAAAGCAAGTGGCTTTTGGCGCGAAAGCCTTGGCGCCTCCCCCTGATTTTTATGGAAATCAAGAGGGCGGGGAAAGCTGCTTTCCTCGGTCTTCTCCCTCCCCCTTGTCTGTGCCGCAGCCCCCTTCTCTCCCCGCCCCCCGGGTGTGTCAGATTTTTCAGTTAATAATATCCCCCGAGCTTCAAAGCGCAGCCAGTGACAGTCATCTGTCTGGACGCGCTGGGTGGATGCGGGGGGCTCCTGGGAACTGGGCTGGAGTCGAGCTAGCGCTAGCCAGGCGCAAGCGCGCACGGACTGCGGCCGCCCGAGGACCCCCCTCCTCCCCAGGCCACCCGGAGACCCTGGCGCAGAATCGTCTCTGAATCCCCGGCAGTCGGCGGGAGGTAAGGAGTGGGGGCTGCAAGCCTCCCGGCGCCCGGGGAGCGCGAGCGCCGCGGGCAGGCCAGCCCTGCACCTGACCGCGGCTCGCGCAGCGGGCGCGGGAGTGCACCCCCGGGACTGGTTTCTGCCTCCGGAACAAAACCGTCGCAGGGTTTCCCCTGAAAAGCCAGCCCCAGCCCCAGCGGCACCCCGACTGAAAGAGACCCGCCCAAATCCTCTCGCTGCCCTTGTCAGGGGGTTGTAATGGCTCCTGCGGAAAGAAATTCGCCCTTCCCTAGAACATTTGTCGGTGTTTGAGCCGGAGCGCCCCCACCCCGAAGCTGGGGTGCTTTTTCCAAAGGGTGCCTGCCCCCAGAGGAAGGGGGGGGTTAGCCAGGGCGAGGCCCGCGGTGCTAATCTGGGTCACGGTGCTTCAGCTCGGAGGAGACGCGGCTCTCCCGGGGACCCTACGTGCGCTGGCACCCCTACATTCCCGGGGACCCGGCTCGGATCCTCCCCACTCCCAGCAAGAGGAGGCTGTTGGGCCTTTGCAAGGGCGAGGATGGGTTTACAGAGGTTCAAGACCAGCTATTGGCAGGACTCTCGCTGCAGCGGTGAATGGCCAGGGGAGTCGGCTCCCGGGCGGGGGAGGTCTGTGGCTGTAGGTGGCTGTTGTTGGTCTCCGGGTCTCGGTCTTGAAATGTGCAAAGTTTCCTAGCCCCTGCTATGGCCTCCACTCCAAGGTTGCAATTTTACAAAGGGGAGACAGCGGGTACTCCGAGTCCTCTGCCCCTCGCTGGGTGGGAGCCAGGAGCAGCTGACCCTACCTCCGTGCAGTCGGCTGGCCGGGAGCTGGGGAGAGCTAGCGTTCTGCAGCCTCGAGCCGCCCCCTCCCCCAGGCAGCGGTGCCGAGTGTGAATGAAATGGCAGTTTCCAAAGTTGCAGAGCCACGCCACCACCCCCCGCATCTGCATGCCCCCTCCCACCCCTGTCGGAGACAGCTTGTACACAAAAGGCGGGAGGGAGGGAGCGAGCGAGAGACAGAACTTCCTCCACCTTCGGGAGGACCGACTGAGTGGGGGGCTTGGCGCGGAGACCCGAGGACTGGGTTGGCTCGAGGGGGGCGCCCACTGTCTCTGCACCCCCCCGCCCCCCGCATTCGACCCCGCTTGCCAACCCGCGTCTGGTGTGTCTGTCGGTTGCAGAGTCGGAGATTGGCGCGGGCCCCCACTGCCGCGCCCCACACGGGAAGGAAGCACCCCCCTAACCGCCCCGAGCCGAGCCGGCAGAAACTGCGCCCCGCCGGCCGGGAGGCGAGCCGAGCCGCGCGATGCCGAGCTGCACCGCGTCCACCATGCCCGGGATGATCAGCAAGAACCCGGACCTCGAGTTTGACTCGCTGCAGCCCTGCTTCTACCCGGACGAAGACGACTTCTACTTCGGCGGCCCCGACTCGACCCCCCCGGGGGAGGACATCTGGAAGAAGTTTGAGCTGCTCCCCACGCCCCCGCTGTCGCCCAGCCGCGCCTTCCCGGAGCACAGCCCGGAGCACGCGAACTGGGCCACCGAGATGATGCTGCTGCCCGAGGCCGACCTGTGGGGGAACCCCGCCGAGGAGGACGCGTTCGGCCTGGGGGGGCTGGGCGGCCTCACCCCCAACCCGGTCATCCTCCAGGACTGCATGTGGAGCGGCTTCTCCGCCCGCGAGAAGCTGGAGCGCGCGGTGAGCG